CTTCTTGTCACCCGGGCCTGGCTGTGTGACTCTAAACTGCAGCCTATACTTTTGAGATGTGAGAAGCCAGAGGACCTAGTGCCCCTCCCACTACTTCTGGAGCTCCCTCTGGAGTCTGACTTCCTTTGTCCTTTTGTAACCAATCAAACTGGGGCCTGTCCATGTGTTGCTTTCATGCATGACCCAACAATCGGTGTTAAAAGAAACAGATTTTTATTAACCGGGGTCCAACCTTGTGGGGGCTAGGAGCACTCCTACTCAGTGCCCTGTTCTCCCATAAGACCTAGCACTTCCCTTGCTCCCCACCTGTCTATAACCCAAAAACCATGTCCAGAAGTTCCCGTATCCTTATCTGTTCTTAAGATGGCTGAGCAAACAGGTCTCCATCCCCTCTGGAAGGTACTCTTATGGGTTTCAGAGTTGCCACCCTCTCGCAGCAGCTCTCTCCTTTAGGTCCTGGGGTACGTTGTCCTCAGCCTCCATGCAGTGGTTCAGGGAAATGTGCTGTGTTACACTGGATCATGGTAGAGTCCAGGGAGGTACACATCCTAAGACAATGGCTTCTCTCTATGTCCTTCAGAGAAGCCAAAGTCTGCAGTCTCAGCATTCCCAGTCACAGTTGAGCTCAAGCATCTCCCATGAATCTGGGTGGTTAGGCAGTTTCCCACCACAGCTCCATCAGCTCTTTCCCTGCCCTTTCCTCAGCCCGCATGGTGGAATCCTGACTCCTGGCTTGCATGGCTTCTACCTCACACACCAGCCCTTCTGGCCAAATCCTGACTACAAACTGCATAGCTGCTTGCTGCTTCCTTTCGAGACCTCATGGCAAATTCCCTTTCAAACTGCATGGTTGCTACCCCTTTCTCTCTCCGACCCTCTGTTATTTTAAATGCTGACCCAGAATTTCCTATATGACCTCATATCCGGCCTCTCCTACAATTTGCTACTTTTGCCAGTTGCCCTGTATCTTTTACCTTCTTTTGGCTGCCATCTATAGGCAGGTCAAGGGCAAAAGTTCCCTGTGACACAGGGGCATCTGGCTCCTGCTTCTCACTCAGGTGCTGTATAAGCTTCCCTGCCTGTCATGAGTCCCTGAATGCTCTGAAGGTTTGGGGCGGCAACACCGGCCTCTAACTTATCATTGTTTTGCAAAGTAAGACTGCTATATTATCCACTCCTTCCTTCCCCCAATCCAGGTTTGTGGGGAATATGCTCCTATTTTCAGGGGCCCCTGCTCTGCACCCAGTTAACTCTTTGACCAGGTTAGCCAGTTAGAGAAAGTTCTTCTGCCTTCATGGTCATGGCTCTGATAAAGTGATATTTTATAGGCCTGCATATTTTTTCACACAGAGGGTTTCCCCCCCTTAGATGAGCAAACAACCTGTAAAGCTGTTTTGTTGTTGTTGCTGTTTTAATTGTGCTGTGGGGTAAGTTCTGTTTCCCCTGGGCTCCTTCTGGTGCCAGGCAGCCAAGATGAAGAAACCTCTAGAGTTGACCCAGGATGATTGTTTTCTCAATGTCAAGGTCTGAAGTGTCAAGAGAAGCTGCCATGGCCTCAGGCCCTCTCTATAATTAGCATCTTCTATTATTCAATGTTTCCACTTCTAGATGGAGAGACACCTCTAATGCTGGAAAAAGATAACAATGGTAACAATTATATAGAATTTATGTACCAGATACTGCTTTCTATATAGTAAATCATTTAATTCCCCCAAACAACCCTAAGAGTTAAGTATTATGCATATCCTATGTATTAGTAATATCTCCACTTTACAAAGGAGAAAACTGAGGCACAGAGAAGTCTCATAGCTAGTAATTGCTGAATGAGTTGGGATTTGAACCTGAAACCAGAGGGCAACCCAGTCCAGGGCTCCAGCTGTCTGTTACTGCTCAGACAAAAAGCAGAGACAGGGCTTGGATTATAACTACACTTTTTATTAATATCAGAGGCCAGAAGTCTGAGAAGGTGGCTGGTAAAAACCCTAACATCCACCTTACCTTGAGCTTTCAGAAGCAAGTTTATAATAGAAGAAACGCGGGATATTGAGAGGGGGAAATTCCTGTGGGGAGTGCAGGCAGCCAGGCTGTTTTCTCTTGGGAGGAGGAGCTGAAAGGGAAGTCTGCAGGTTTCTCAGAAGCTGGCTCCCTTTGTTCCAGTGTTATCTCTTTGTTTGCATTAGAATTCCTCTCTTCCCTGACACCTAGGGTTTAAGGCAGGGGAGAGTGTGTATTCTCTGGTTAGGGAGGAGACAGAGAAACTATTTACTCTCAGGTGTCCTTGGTTAGGGGAGATAATGTCTTGCTATTCACCAGCTGGCTGTAACAGCTCAAACTGTTGCACCTTTTTAAATTTTCTTGTCTCAGTTTCTCCTTTCCATTTGCCCAGGAATTTTCCTAGCTTCTTACTATATTCTCTCAAACCCAGATGGTCTGATTCTCAAATCTATCCTTTTAGTCATTATGCTATAAACCTTCTGTGCTAGGGTGGAGGGAACCTCATGTAGTGTGCACCTCGCTATGAGAATGTGAAAGGCCTCAGGCTCCCCTCTTAGGAGCCTGTGGGAGGAGGAGAAGGAGGATGAAGAGGAGGAGGAGGAAGGCCCACTCTTGGGTACTCTGGGGCATCAGCAAGTTGTGATGTTGAGATGGGAACTGGAGTAGGTTGGAAGTTCTTTCCCAGAAGAATGGGTTGCTCTTTGGAGACCTGCACTGGGCCTGGGTTGTCCAGGTGTGGGTGGGGCTCAGGCTCTGAAGAAAGGGTTCCATCTGGAGCCTGCTCTGCATTCCAGGTGGGCTCACAGACCCTGTGGGAAGATACTGGAAGAGAATGATGTGAAAGCCTTGAACTTGGGTGGCAACACATGATGCAATGGCCTCCAGACTTTCAACCACCTGCTGGTGAAGCAGCAGCAACCTGCACCTTGCACTGACCCCATGGTGACTGAGGTTAAGCTCAGAGCCATGCCTTATGGGGCTATGTCTTCTTTTTTATTGTTTGTTTTTGAATATGTTCATGACTCAGCTTATTACTCTGCCAAACATAGTGCATTATCATGGTGGTTTTGATTGTTATACAAATTTTTTAATTTTATTTTTTATATTTAAAAAGTTTTTATTGTGGTAAAACAAATATACATAACAAAATTTAGGCATTTTTAAGTGTATAGTTTAGTAGTGTTAAATATACTCTATTTAACACTACTCTATGTATAATAGAACAATAACTCAATGTATATAGAACAATATACATTGTTCTCTGATGATCTCCAGAACTCTTTTCATCTTGCAAAATGGAAATTCTGTTTTCATTAAGCAATTTCTCTTAGTGCTTTCCTCCAGCCCCTGCAACCACCTGCAACCACCATTTCACTTTCATTATACAGATTTTTTTTATCTTCACCTGAGGACATGGTTATTGATTTGAGAGAGAGAGAGACAGAGACATTGATGTGAGAGAAACATCCATCAATTGCCTCCATATACATCTCGACCAGGGATTGAACCCACAACCTAGGCAGATGCCCTGTCTGGGGAGTGAACCTGCAATCTTTTGGTGTACAGAATGGTACTCAACAAACTGAGTCATCTGGCCAGGGCTCATTATACAGACTTTTATAAACAACTTTTATTCCATCACATTAACTTGCTTTAAATATAAATTCAGGGGTTTTGAGTGACTGGACTGAGTTGTGCAACCATCACCACCATTCAGTTTCAGAACACGCCCATCACCGGTGAGGTCATCCATACATGGAAAAAGCAAGAAAATTCTTTTTCATGGTAATAGTTCCATAATTATTTTTTCTGGAATTAGTTCTATGCTCACAGCAGGAGGATCTTATTAACTTAATTTACTTAGTATTTACTGAGAACCTGCTGGAGCCCACAGCTGAGCTCGGTGGAAAAGGCAATGAAGAGACAAACAAGTAGAGATGGCTGCCTCCCTGCAGCTCACGAACTTTCTACTGAACGTACTGTTAAATGTAACCTACTTGCATGTCCGGGTCTCCAGGCAGCTGCTATGCAGATATTTGTTTTTTCATCCTGTGGTTCTTAAATTGAGGACCAAGCAAGGACCTCCCTTTTGCTATACAGGCACACCTCACTTTATTGTGCTTTGCTTTATTGGGCCTTACAGTTGTTGTGCTTTTTATAAATCAAAAGCATTCACTTTATTGCTGTGGTCTGGAACTGAACCCACAATATTGCCCAAACTGATATTGCACAGACATTATTGGCGGAACAGAAAGGAAAGTGTATTTTCCAACATCTGCAAACGACTCTAGACTTTGGCAAACCTGGATGCAGAACTGGGGAAGAGAAGAAAGTAGGTATGCTGTTTCAGGTACAAAGATTCAGCAGGTGGAATTGGGGTGAGGGTGCATTGAAGGAAGAAAAGAGCTGGAGCAAAATCAGGGCATCAGGCCAGGGTAAACTGAGTGAGTAGTGATGCATTAGGTGGCCTACAGCTTAGCGGCACATTGGCGTGTGGTGTGGTGCTACCTGGAGACTTGGGGGTGAGGAGGGAGTGCAGTCTTGTATGTTAGACTGAGGATTTTGGACTTAGTGGAGTAAACATGGAAGACAGCACTTTAAGTCTCTGAGGAAGGGCATGACCGTTCAGAAGGGCTAGACTTAGGAGAGTAATTTTGCGGTGAGGAGAGAGAGGGAAGCAGGCATGGGCTGAGAGGCTATCATGAGTGTGCTAATATTAGGTGATGTAGACCTGACTTGGGCAGGGGCAGTGGGCAAGGAAAGAAATGGGTGGGAGAGAAGATTCTGCCAGGTGAGGGGGGAAAATCTCTTTGTCCCAACCTCTTCCCTGGCAGAAAATCTCTCTGTTCATAACTGCCTTGCCCACCTGCCTATTGTGTTTCAACCAACCCTTCACACTTAGGGTGTCCTAAGGCCGACTCAGCAATCCTTCCTCCATGCTTTTCTCTGCCTGGCAGTCTTTTCTCTCCCCTTCATTCTTCTCCTTGTCCCACCCCTCTTGCCAGGAGGAAGGAGAGGCGCCAGAAGGAAGCAGAACACTGAACACTGTACCTGTGGAAGGCGGTGCCATGGAAGGCTGTTGTGACAAATTATCAGAGAATGTGGCTGGCAGTGCCAAATGCCAATGAGGTGAGTGAGGGTGGGCACTGAAGAAAGGCTGGGGACTCAGGGCTGGTACTAGCACTAGGCCATGTGCCTGGGAGCAAAATTTAAGGAGGCTTTCAGGGTTAGAGTGTTAACCCTGTACTTGCACAGTTCTGAGTGTGAGGGCCTCCTTAATTTGCACCCTAGGTACCTTCCTTACCTTACCCTAGACTTGGACTATGTTCCTGAAGAGATCTGGTAATTGGGAGGATGCTGGTGACCTTGGAGAAAGTATTAGATTGCTAAGGACTAAGGACTGAGTGTGGAACTGTTTCTTCAGTAGAAAGCCTCCTTAGGGAAGCTTCCTGAAGCTGCATGGGACACACTTGTCTCCCTCCTTACCCCAAGACAGCCCCCCAGGTTCTCTACAGACCACCTAGGGTGCCAGGAGCACAGGGAGAAGACCACCAATCAAATCCAACCTCCCAACCTACCATAGAGAATTTTGAGACCCAGAGAGGTGTGTGATTTGTCCAAGGTCACATGGGGAGGTATGACCTTAGAGGTCTCCCTTTATTTTCTTTCAGCTAATTATCTTCAGTTGTTTTACATTCTCTTTTTATTGCCCCAATCTTTTCCCCCCACTATAAGAATCGGAAACAGAGTCAATACTCAAGATCTGATTTATATTTGAAGACCAAAGTCTAATTCTGAAATGTCCATTTACTGAGGGCCTCCTACCTACCAAGCATTATTTTAGGGGCTTTTCCATAGATTATTTTAGTTATTTCTTATAAGAGCCTTTCAAAGTACATGTTATTGTCCCATTTTCCTGATGAAGAGACTGAGGCTTAGAGAGAACAAATGTCTTGTTTGAATCTGCATAGTCACTAACTGGTGCTGCTGAATCTGGAGCCTCTATCCTTCCTCCACACCCCATGCTTCTCGAGTCTTCACGTGGACTGAGTGCTGTGATGCCAGGTACTGTGTTTTCTGTGTATGTGCTGGTAGAGTATAAGCAAAAGAGACAAAAGTCCTGCTGAGACCTGCTCCACATGTCCCCCTCTTGGTGAGGGGAGATGGCCTTGCTCTTCATAAGGTCTCCTGTCACAGGTGTCTCTGGGCTCTGTGTTTTTTACTTTTGGTTTTGCTGAGGTAAAACCCATGGCTCAATTCACTCCTCAGCCACCAAGTCACATGGATTCCATTCTCTGCCTCATTTCTGAATAGTTTCACTGACGTCACCCATAGGCAATATAGAGAAGTTTATGATTCGAGGAGCACGGTTCCTGCCCTGCACTCCCCCACCCCCAAGGAGAACTGATTCAGTTTCGTAATTTAGCCCTGATACAGTCAGGTTATTCTGGCTTCCTCTGCCCCTAGCCCAGTGAGAATTTGGACCCAATGTTTTCACTTGTCACTTTAGACTGTTTGCCCGAGTTTGCGGAAAAAGGCCTAGATTATTAATGCCCTTGTCGGGAACAGGTGCGCACTGCCAGGCTGTCATGTGAGCCCTTTAAAAAGACCAGGCTGCAAGGCCCGCACTTGCGGGCCCACTGGCTCAGGTAAGAAATGTGATCCTATCCTGCAGGAACTTGCAGACAGCCCAGGAGGGCAGAAGGCCACTTGGAAGGGACAGATCAGGGTCTCACCTAGGAATTCACAATAGCACAGTGAGCGACCTGGGGGGCTGACGCCATCATGGTGCTTTGTGGAGGGGAGCACAATTTTTGAAAGTCTTTTTAGTCTGAAGGCCCAGCTCCCTCCCCCATAAGATAAAAATGAGTATATCAATAACCCACTTAGTAATATTTGGAGGTGTATTACTCCTTAGTTGGACACTATGCTAGCCACTTGACATAAATTACAGGTACACTTCAGAAGTATTGTGGGTTCGGTCCCAGACCACTGCAATAAAGTGAGTATCCCATTAAAGCAAATCACAACAAAATGAGTATGTCTATAATTTAATCCTCAGAAGAAGTCTTTGAGGTAGGCTTGTTACCTTGATTTAATGGATGACTAAACAGCCTCTGAGAGATCAAGTGAATTACCTAAGGCCATGCAGGTAGAAAAGAGTAGAGGTGGGATTTGAACTGAGGTCTATTTCATGCTCCTTTCAGGACCTTGTAAACTACCAGAGACAGAATAATATTTTCCCAGTTTACCTTCAGGTTACCCCTGCAGTTGGCTCAACTCCTCCGCCTCCCATCTTTGTCTCTTTTTGTCCCTGTGCTCTGGAGTCTGGTATTCTAGTGAGGACTTGACTAGATTTCAATGTCAGCCAGGCCAGAGGTGGATGGTGGTGCTGCAGGCCGACCAGGGGTGAGGAAAGGTGGTCTCTGGCAACTTCTCTTCTATCACCTGAAGTGGCTCTGCTTCACTTCCTCATGCTCCATCAGAGCTCCTTTTTAGTGCCAGGAGCTCAACACTGAATTTAGAGGAAATACACTAGTAACATCACTGGTTCGCTTAGAAAACCTCCACCAGTCCCAATTTCTTGCAGGATAAGCTTGAAATTTATGTCTGGAGCAGATAATTTCACTGAACCCCATTTCCTGTCACTGTGGCTCTCATACCCTCACCCCTCAGAGTGCCTCACCATTCCTGAGTACAATGGGCCCACTTTCATGATGGAGCTTTTGAATGATATTCTGTTGGGCATGCCTTTCTCTGCCTGGCAAACTCCTGTTCATTCTTCAAAACCCAGGGTGAACATTATTTTTTCTGATTTCCTCTAGCAGAGCTGGTGCTGCCCAGCCCTTAGTTCTTAATGCCTTAGATGGTTTTTCACTCATCAATTCAAGCATATTTCTCTTCTCCTAAGGCTCAGGAGCAGGAATTGAACACTTATTTCTGTATCACCTGTACTTGGGGCATATTTGTGGGGACAAATGAAGGGGGGTTCATTAATAAAGCCATGTTCTGAAGCATGAATCACAGGTGGTCCCACCTTAACTGAAATACAATGTCACTTCAGAGAAAAAGAGGTGGTAATCAAGGACTATGGTGCTATTGATTGTTTGACAGAGGAGCCAGGCACTGTGCTGAGAACATTATTGCAAATGAGCCAGGAGAGAGGCAGAGAGGCAGGCCGAGACCCAGAGGAGTGAAGTAATAATGCAGTGCCTTGAAGTTGGGGAGTGGAGCATGGCTTGCCCTGTTCTCTAAGCCAGCCTCTCAAATTCTGTCCCTGCCCTGTCTCCTAGGAGAGGATCTCCTTTGGGCAGGGTTGGGTGCAGACCTGGAGAAAAAGTAGGAATTGTGGATGGTTCCAAAAGGAAGGGGAGAGGGGTGGCATGCAGGAGAGAGGAGGAGAAGCAGAAGCAGGAGAAAGTCTAAAGCCAACTTTTTTCCCCTTACTATGGTATTGAGGGCATCTTACTGGCCAGAGCTGATGCCCAGTGGCTGCTCCTGAGGATGCAATATGAGCTGTGTCCAAGCGTGAATTTGGAGCCAGGCCCTGGATATGTAGGTCATCTGTACTACTGGGCCTCCTGCCCACTTGATTTTTTCTTCTCCCGATGCTGGGTATTGGCCCTTAGACTTTGGAGATGGTCAGATCTAAGTTTAAATCCTGATCTCAGGTACTTGAATTGCTAATTGTATGGCAATAAGCAAAAATAATGCCGATGCTATTTTTCTAGGGTCACTGGGGTCAGTGATGATGACAGTATTGACAGGCCTTGCGCTATGTGGCTTATGGCTTCTTATTTATTTCTCTGAATGCCCTATGGGTAGATGCTGTTATCATTATGAACTCTCAGATACGTAGCTGAGGTTCAGAAAAGTTAAATAAGTTGTCCAAGGTCATCAAATGCAGGGGGCCCCAATCTTCTGGCCATGAACCACCATGGGTCCAGGCCTGTTAGGAACTGGGCTGCACAGCAGGAGGTAAGCTTGAATGTAATGCTCTTGAATTATCCTGAAACCATCCTTCCCCTCCCTCTGCATCCCCTCCTCTCTGCTCCCAGTCTGTGGAAAAATTGTCGTCCATGAAACCCGTCCCTGGGGCCAAAAATTTTGGGGACCGCTGACCTGGTAAGTAAATGGTGGACCCATGTCTGCTACACCCCATCCACTATGCCACCAGTCTCCCATTTGCCTGATCCTAAGAGTCATCTGAGGCTCTTGTTAAAAGAGCAATTGCTAGGCTTCATCTCAGATTCTAATTCAGTCTGACTGGGGTGGGGCCTGGGGAGCAGTGGATGTAACAGTTACCTGGAATAATATTAGAATCTGTTGAGTTCAAGAAACAATTATTGTGCCTTCATGGTTGGCCCTTAGTAAATATTAACTAAAGGATATCTTTTCATGCAAGATTTTTATCTTTTAAAAGTACATAGTCCTGGCCATATAGCTCAGTTGGTTAGAGTGCCATCCTAGTATGCCAAAATTGCAGGTTTGGTCTCTGACCTCCGGTCAGGGCACATGCAAGAAGCAACAAATGAATGCATAAAAATGTGGAATGACAAATCAGTTTCTCTCTCTCTTTTTCTCCCTCTTTACCCCCCTTCTTTCCCTTCTCTCTCTAAAATTAATAAATACAATTTTAAAAAGTACCTTGTCTTAGAACTAGGTTTTAAAGGTAAAAGTCAAGGGCAGTAGATTCTGAATCAGCAACTCTACATTCTAAAACACTAAACTTAGAACTGTCTGCAAATGGAATGAACTGCCTTCAAAGATCCCTGCCACTTGTGGTCAAGCAATTGGTGATACCACGTGTCAGGTGTGCCAGTTGAGAGGTCAGTTCTTCAAGGACCAAGTGCCTTGTCAGTGTCTGTCCTATGTATGCATGAACTGAGAAGGACTTTGGTGTTTAAGTTTTCCAGGAGAAGTGGAGTTGAGCCACTATGCAAAGTCAGGAAGGGTCTGATGGTGGGCAGATGTTGTTTTATCTGTTCATATTTCTGGGCCTTCTTGCCTTTGTTTTTAAGTTCTTAAGGCCCATCCTGTGAGCATATAAGTTACAGAACATAGTAGGATATATTCCATCAGCACTTGGAGAAAGGCTTGACCCCTGTTTTTGTTCATTGACTTTCTGTTGCCAACCTCAGCCTTAATGAAAAAACTCAGCACAAGCTTCCTTATAGACTAAGAGCAATCTATAGGACCCTGCTCAAAAACCAGAAGGAATCCTACTGAAATTATTGTCTTGAATACTTTAATTCTAAGATCCATGGTAATAGCTGCCACTTTGAAACACTTACTGTATGCTAGGTGCTTTACATAGCTTTTCTTATTTAATCCTCCCAACAACACAATGATATAGGTAACAATACCCCTGTTTTACAGATGAATAACCTGAAGCCCAGAGAATTCAGTTAAATTGCCCTTTGTGACTGAGATAGTAAACAATGGAGTCGGATTTCAAACCAAAGTTTATGTGATTCACAAATTAGAAGTTATTATGCCTGTATCACTTTGCCTCTCTTGATTGGACTGAAGCTTAGGGATTAGTCATCCTGACTGGTGATAGAAAGAAAGCTGTGTACAGAGTGTATCAAAGGGATGGCAGATATCTACATTCACATCTAAAATTATCCTTACCTTTTATTCATGTGGATAACCATGACATTCCTTAAGTCATCTTTTGGTGATTGCAGCAGAAATAGGTTTCTGGTTACTAATGACTGCCAGTTAGGATACATTAACGCTAAGGATGGTGGCTGGCCAATGGTTGGGGAACATGTACCTGCACTGCTGGGGTGCTACAGCAAGGCTGTCAAGGGCCAGGCATTTGGGTGCTCTTGAGGAGTAATGACAGCTGGGAAACTGAAGTGAGAGGAAGGAAGTATGAGCTGTGCATCACTTAATTAACCTTGAGCTGGAGACCAAAGGGTTACCTGAGTCTAATAACCTGGATAAGAAGACTGCCTGAGCCCCATCTTTGTCTGCTAATACAAAGTGATTGCATCATCTAGTATATAGTTTTGGTCTGTTAGAAAAACAAAATCCTCCAAGAGTGGCAAAGAAATTTC